GAACTTACTTCAGCAGCAATTTCTACACCAGTTGGTCCACCTCCTACAACTACAAATTGTAAAAGACGTTTTCTTTCATCTACCGTTTGTAGTGGAGTCATGGCTGATTCAAATGCATCACTAATTGCTGATCGAATACGTCTAGCATCATTAATTTCCTTAAGCATATGTGCATGTTCTTTAACACCTGGAGTATTAAATGTATTATTTTCTGATCCAATAGCAACAAGAAGTATATCATAATTCATATCAAATACTGGTCGAGTACGAGCTTTATATAAATGAAAATTGTATTAAAAATAAAACTGAAAATAAACATGATTTTCTTTACCCGAATCAATAACAACTCTTGATGATGCTCTGCTCGCTTCTTTGGCTGATTCATCTATCGATTTTTCTTCATTACTACTACTACATGTAACTTTTTTTGCTTTTACATCAACATTAACACATTGTGCTTCAAGATATTTAATACGAGGTCCAATAAGTGAACGAATCGATTCAATTACTGTTCGAGTTTCAACTGTGCCAACGCCAACAGAAGGTAATAACGGTGTCATTAAAAAATAGTTTCGTGGTGATATACAAACAACTTCATATTTTTGAGTATCAATATGTTTTAAAAATGGTACAGCACCCCAACCTATCGTACAAAATTATATTGAGAAAAGTACTAAAATAATTAACTATAACATTTACCTGTGCCAAGAACAACAATACGCGGTCTGGTGCCAGCAATGTTATCAGCATCTTTCATTTCTTTAAACCATCGATAATGACGATATTTACGATAACCATGAAATATACCATAACCAGCGATAGAAATAATTACAACATTTCTTAAACGTCGTTTTAATCTTCCACCTAATTAAATAAACATTATAAATGTTTTTTTTTTAAACAAATTTTTACAAACCAAAAGTTTGTTTAACTGGTTGACCAAATAATCTAGCAAGACTTCGATTTGAATTGATTATTGTTAATTGTTGAAAAAATAGAAGTGAACGAGATAACATTTCTTTAAACTATAGTAATACTTGATTAAACATGCAAAGATACAATTGACTTTGTGACCAATCATATTTTCTGATTTCGAGTTTTATCTTTGATCAATTATTATTATTATTATTTTAAATATTAGGCAATTAAAAACTTCTGTTCATGGCTCATATTTCATCAAAAAAAAAAATTCACTGCCATCTGTTGATGAAAAATCAGTTTGATATCAATGGATAAGTTTATCATTTCGTTTCGCTTCATATATTTTAATACGATGAATCAACGTATCAAAACGATATGGTTCGTTGAATATATATACACTATAATTAGATGAGAGAACTGTTTCATTGGAATGTTGTTTAAAAATAATCTCAATATAAGAAAACTAACATAGAAGAGTACAAAAAAAATGATAGTATAATCTATGTGTAAGTATATGTACTCGAGATGAATACAAGACATGCATTTACATCATCAACAATGAATGATATCTAATCTATAATAATACCACGTTTTTTGAATATAATGTATATTCTATAACAAATAATTTTTTATTTAAAAACAAGAATGAAAGATTTGTAAGTACAGTTAGATAAACGTCTTTTATCTAAACATTACTATCTTCGGGTGATTGAGTCTGAACACTCTGTCTCTTTCTACAGCAACATAATCTATGAACCCACTCCCTTTTAGAGTGTTGTTGCTCACTAGTTTTATGATGTGATGACTCGTTAGTATTTCTCTGGCTTTGTTCTTCATACATTTGACTTAAAAATGTCCCAAGTGGCTTAGGTAATGGTTGATGTTGTTCGAAAAACTGAGCATTGATTTGAGCACCAATAATTAGAATTAAAGCAAAATAATAAAAGAACAGAATAAGTATGATGGCAAAGCCAATTTGACCTTAATAAATTAAATGATAGATAATAAGTTAGATAATAATTAATAGATTTACCTGCATAATTACTCATAAACTGTCGTACATACAATGGAAATAAAATAATAAATATTTCTAATGTTATCGACGCAACCAAAGCACCACACCAAGTTTTCTTGAAAGTCATTTTTTTATTCGGTATTAACCAATATATTATTTCAAAGAGAAGAAATGCTATTGCCAATGACACAATAATACCAACAAAAAATAATAGAAATCGAGCACCATCTCCTGAAACATGATTCAGTAGAGCTGATGGAACTGAACCAGCAGCAATCAGTAATATAACAATAATAATTAGGAGAAACAGTGTACCCAATGCCATTAAGTTTTGACGAAGCAATGTACGTTCAGGTAAACGATAAATAATCGTCATAGAAACATCAATAGCAACAAATAAGCGTGAAGAAAAAAATATAGCGAAAATAATACCAACGACAAAAATTATTCCCGCATCGTTTGCTAATTGATTAAAGGCAAGATCGACTATCTACATAAGAAAATCATCATAGTGAAGAAAAAAAAGTTTGAAATTAAACTTTATTATATTTACCTGTTGTATACCATATTGTGTTGCATTATGTGAAGGAAATGAGTGAATAATTGCATTCTTAAAATATTCTTTGTCGTCAGGACGACCTTTCAAAACTAAACCTAATGTCCCAAAAATTATAATGATAATTGGTAATATCGCTATCAAGAAGCTATAAGCAAGCATAGCAGCAAAATCCAGTGACCAATCATTAAAACATTTTCTAAGAAAACGACAAACAGGTGATGTTTTATGTTCAACATTTTGAACAGTAGATGATGAAGCTGCATTATCGACCATTATTATGTTCTCTCGCATGTAACTAAGAAGAAGAAGAAGAGAATAAAAATTTCACTTCTATGAATGATGGACGAGAGAAAAGAAAACGATCTAATGGTGCACCGGAAGAAAAGAGAAACAATTCGAACAGCAAACAGTGCATTGAGTACTACCTTCTCGTGCGTTGACCTTCGAGAAAAGAAGAAAAAAAAGAAAAAACGAAAAAAAAAGGTCAGTTTATCACAGGCCATCTTCTCATAGTAGAGTATTGAGTTTAATACATCCTTCATCAAAGTTCTGTTCGAACTCGTATGATAAATTTAAATATTCTATATTGTATTTCTTAATCGTAAAGGATTATATATAGATTTCGATTTTATTTCTCTTTTTCTTCACACGTGTGTATATAAAATATATACAGAATTGATAAGAATAGGCGCTAATGAATCGTTGTATTTTATCATGAATCGAAAATATTTTAATGGAATTTTGCCGAGACAATAGTTTAATTCAATCATATTACTTTAGTACTTGCGACAGAAAATATCGTTAGTGCTAAAAAATAGATCTTACTTGAAAGATATTATTCACAGTTTTATTTTCCAGTCATGTTTCTCATATTGTCGATTATATTTCAATCATTACAACATTATAATTCAAGTTTACTTGTCTATGTCATTATTGCCACGGCTACATTCGCTGGTCGATTAGTTCTGTTTATCACAGACATCTTTAATGGATCAGTAAACTTGAAATAAAACAACCAATCAAATAGAACTGTGAATATGAGCAAGATATACCCACACGAACACCCTAGATAACAGACTTCAGGTGAAAGAAAAAGAAAAAAGGTAAATAGCAGCGAGTAGTTTCGATCTACCGACCTCTGAGTTATGAGCCCAGCACGCTTCCACTGCGCCACGCTGCTATACCATCATTTATACTCAATCAAGTATGCTAAATAGTTCATAATCTTTCTAAAAATAAGATAAAAATTAAAATCAATCTTGAACAGGAAATATGTTGTGATTTTCTATGTTAATTGTAAGAAAAAAAAGAATACTACTCCGCGGCGGGGAATCGAACCCCGGTTTCCCGCGTGACAGGCGGGGATACTAACCACTATACTACCGCGGATGATGTTCTTCTTTTCTGATGATGGATTTGCATGTGGGTGTGAATGTGAGTATAATCTTAGTTTTTTACTTGCACTTACACCCACACTCTCATGATTCTATTGTATCAATTAATAAAATTAAATATAATCCTACAATCTTCAATTCTAATTATAAATTTTTCATATCGTATACCTATTGTTGAACGAGTAAAAGTTTACCATAGTATACTTTCTTTACAATTTGAATCAATGAAGCGATGTAAGCAAGTTGTCAAAAAAAAACATATGCTCGCTCACACCTCAACTAATTATACATTATAATATCAAATTTTAATAGATAAAAATCAAATTATACATATGAGTTTATTAAAAAATACAACGTAACAGTTCGTATAGTTACGAAATAGAATTTGAGTGCATTTTAGTCTGATCAATATTCTGAAAATTAACATTATCTCGTGCCTTTCTATCCTATATTGTTATATCGGTGCATGACAAAATCCTAGAAGTTTTTTTTTTACGATCATCACAATGACATAATTATCTCTTAGACAAATAAATAGAAAACACCACGTGCAGAGAATAATAAATCGTTCGATTTTTATATTTATTCTTTTTCTTTTTGACACAATGCGAAAATATCACAATAGAACTTCTATGTACAGAAAAAGTAAATTATTGAAAAACTCGACGTAGTTCATCTCGAAAAATACTCGATGTTACAAAACAAACAAAAAATGGCGTTGAACATGATAAATAAACAAAACAATCAATAAGAACTTCAGCTAATTGTATACGAATTGATTTTAATGCACTATTTTCAAAATGATCACGCATAACTTTATCATGTCGTTCAACAATTTTAAATAATTTATAGGGTGCTGTACTGAATATAAATAGAAATGATATACATCCAAGAGCAAATGTTAAATGTAAACGTCGATCTCTTGCACGATGACGTGTTATAATAACTGTTGTATTTGTTGTTGAACTAAATGTTGGAATATTTGTTGTTATTGAAAATGAATTTTCACAATGTCTTGGTGTCATAATCATAATTCTTGATAATGTACTCCAACATTCCGTACGTAAACGTACAACTTCTTTTAAAATTCGTGAATTAAAATAAAGTATAAGAAAAAATGGTAAACAAGTTATAAAAATAACATCAATTAATGATTGTCCATAGGCCATATACTTTGTAAAATAAATTGCGTGAATTTTAACTGAACATCTAATAATCGTATGATTTTTATTATTTATTGAATAATAACCATAGGATGAAGATAAAAATGAAGTATTCTTCAAAACAATACATACAAATGCAATAATTAATAAATAATATAGATAATTTCGTTTACGCCAACGTGTATAATATGAATGATATACACAACAAATAAATCGATCTGTTGTTAAACCTAATTGTATATAGGCAGAAAAATCTAATATTGAATAACGTATACATTTATATAAACGACATGCTATTGGTGTTGAATAAATACGTATGGATGGTGTCATATAAACTTTTAAGAAAATATCAATAATAAATAAATATAATAGAATTAAATCATTTACACATAATAAACGTATACATATAGATGATGTACGTGTTAAACGTTTTTGAAATTTACGACGACAAAATACAAAAAAACAAAGTGAATTACCAATTGTTGCTAATGGTAAGATAACTAATGGAAATATACTATTTGTTAATTGTATAAAAAATGTTATACGTTCTTCAACTGTTAATGAACGATTCATTTTTATATATGAACTAGTTTCTTAGAAGAAGAAAAAAGTCATTCCTACTAATATGAATAAACAACTGACAATGATTGAATGACAAACATGTTTTTTTTGCACTATATTCATTTCCTTTTTTTTTTTCTCCTCCGACAATCAACAAAGCTAAAACAGACATGTCGAACCATATTGTGAACTTCTTTTTTTTTTTAATTCTAATTACCAAATACATTTCCGAATGAATAAGATAAAATTAAACAAATCAAATAGTTTTGTTAGGTTTGTACACATGAATAGAATATTTTTTTGTTTTTGAATGTTTTCTTTTTTTGTATGACAAATAGAACAATATTTTATCGATGAGTAAGAGAGAACAGACGATATAGGTCACCATCGTTTTATCGGATGAACGCTCTTACGTAGTATTCATAAGTTACATTGACTATGTGGTGAAGCAAAAAAAAAGAAGAAGAAGAATATTTTCGTCATTCGGTTTCGGTCCTTATTTTTTTGTTCGTTCATTTGACTAGGTTGTTCAGAGGTGAAAAATACAAAGAAAAAGGCGGAGGAGGAGCAAGTATATTTCCTCCGTCTTGTCGCCGACGTATACATTTATACATCAACACATAAGTTAACTATGTCCCATACGCAAGATAAATATCATAGAGACGTTCATTACATGTTCAGTCATATATAAAGGTGATGAATGAGTAAACATCGTCATACCAATGGTAAGCTAAAAAATATTACGACAATTTTATTCTATATATATATATAGAGTAATAGAAGCGTGCTATATGTACATTTTATCAATGTCAGTCATAAAATTACTAGTAGTTTAGTATTAGTTTTACAAGGCAATATTTCTCATCTAGAAATGAAATGAGAAGAAAAGTGTGTGTATATTTTCTTTTTTACCATCAGCCTTGATCACTGGCGGTTTTTTTTCTTCTTATGTATATAAATACAGTTTGTTGTTCACGCTATTACTCTCATTTTTTTTTCTTATCATTATCATATTTGTATATATATATATATATATATATATACATACGGATATAACCTTCATAGTAGACTGTCGTATTTATTTTTTTAGATAATAAAAAACGAACATCTTTTTTTTACAGTGAATATATACCAATGAACTATAGTTTTTAATCTTTTAAAATTTAATCATGTCACGAAAATATTCCTCATGGGCATTAAATCAACCTTCTATACATCCAGAATTAACAAATATGATGAGATTAACAACGGTAGCGGGTAATGAACAAGATCAACGTAAATAAAATACTTTTTTTTTCTCTATCTGTAAAATATTTTAATGATACAATCGATTGATTACTTTATAGTTAAAAATTTTGAAAGAGTCGAAGCTATTCCTCATATGTATATTAATGTTGATGCACCACCACCACCAACGGTAAGTACACATTTTTCAATATGTGTGTATATATTAATACACACATGCTTTTGCTTCTAACAGACAAAATTTGATGCTCGTGCTATGCAACCAACTATGATGCAAAATCACAATTCATCTTTTTTTGCTGTAAGCTTTGTTTTTTTTTTGCTTTATGAAGTGTTTGTGTAACGTAATTAACTAATAATAGTTTAATGTTGTTTTCGTTCTCATAGGCGCCATCTGCTATACCACCACCATCAAATCTTCAAACAAAAATATGGCCAATTGAAAAACCTTCAAGAAATCCATCCGCATTTGATAGTGGATCAACAACAACAAAACGAGCTCATAAACATAAACATCATCATCATCATCACCATCATCATGCTGATAAACATCATCATCATCGACATCATAGTCGACGACATCGTGCTAAAAGTGCTGAATCAATTCGGAATCGACAACATCGAACATCACTTTCATCATCAAAGATTATGCTTGCTAATCCACAATATATTGAACAAGATCAACAACAACAACAACAACAACAACCAATGATTGTCTATCGTGAATTATCTAATGGTGATGGTTATACTGTTGATCAAAATGGTTTTGCTACTGTTCCTTATATGACAGAAAATGAACAAGGAATTGTCGATGATCAACAAACACCTGTTGTTGTTTATCGTGATACTAATCTTCAACAAACACAACATCAGTCATTAATGTCTGATGGAATATCTCAAGATGTATTCTATAATACAGATCAAGACGGAGTAAGTTCAATCTTTTTTTTCACATATAAAATACTTTATTTCAAAATCCCATTAATCGATTATTCTATAGACTATAACCAAACAAAATATTCCTTTACAGCCTATTGTAAACAAACTAATTTCTCCTCGAGTAGCACCAGTAAATGAAACTCAAGTTAACAGTTATGCACGCTGTATTTGTAATCAAATGCCTACATCTATGAATACAAATATCAATTATATTCAAGAAATCGAGCGAATCTATATTGAAGAGGATTATTCTTCTCCATTATCAATTGTCAATCCTAATTCAGATAACTGTGTAGGATAAATAAGTTCGCTGCCTGAAAAAAATTTTGCCTATACATTTTTTTTTATACTTACGCTTTGCATACATGCAATTCTATCCATTAGTTTTATTGAGTTTAATATATAATTTTTTTTAGGTTTTTCAACAATCTGATCCATTCATTTCTTATCCACAACAACAACATCAGCAATCATCACAAATAGTATATTGTACTGATCCTAATCAACAAGATTATCTTTGTACATCAAATAATCATAATAGCATTATTCAACAATCTATATCACCACAACAACAATATGTTTGCGTCGATAATACACAACAAGCAATGCAACCAACGATTATTAATCAAATACCTGTTTTTAATCCATTAGCAACAAATGCAAATTCTCAATCTCTCGTTAATGTACCACAACAATCACTTCAACGTGCGACAAGTGTTGTTATTCAACAACCACAATCTCAGCCGTTACAAATTTTTCAACAACCGCAACCGTTACAAGTTATTCAACAACCTCAGCCGTTACAAGTTATTCAACAGCCACAGCAACTGCAAGTTATTCAACAACCACAACAATTGCAATTCATTTCGAATCAACAAACTCAACCTGGTCAATTTTTACAAATTACTCCGGCTACGCAACAAATGATTCAGACAATCCAGCCACAAGTTATTCAAGCTCCATCTGTTCTTCAAACTATTCAGAGTAAATATTTTTATTCTTAAGTGTTTATCCATATTGTTAATTTTTTTTTATAGTGCCAGCTCAAGCAATTGCAGGTAGCTTAGTTAAATAAATTTATTTTGGTAATGGTCATATGTAGATAACTAATTTAATTATTTTTCTTTATACTATTATTAATTTAACAGTATGTAAAATTTAAATATATTTTCTTTTATTTAGCCAGTCCACAAATTCTCTATCAACGTCCGTATGATCCAGTTGTTGGACAAATTCAAAATCAACAAGTGACTATTGCTAATTCACCGCTAGTTGCATTAAGTCAACCATCTTATGCACCTGCACGTATTGCGCCAGTTGTGTCAGGAGGACAATCACAAGGACCAAATATGTTTCGACATGCTCTTCTACAAGTAGGACATATAAATATTATATATAATATTAATATTTTTCTTTCATAAATATAGACTGTTGCTGGTCGAACTGGTGTGCCTCTTCCTTCAGCAGTAGCACCATCAGGTGGCGGTGGTGGTGCTATTCAATTAATGCAACCAACAGCTGGAGCTGCTAATCAAAAGTAATCTTCTTTTATATATATATATATATATTATTGCTATATTACATACGTGCGATATAATTATGCTTAATCTAATTGTTTGATGAGAGATGATATGTTATTTAAAAAAAAAACAAAAAACTTTGATGTTTATAGTTTCATATTAGCTGGTAATATGCAACGATCGGGATCGGTGCCAATCGTACCACTAACACCAGGTGGTTTACTCATTCCATTTCAGCCATCACAGACATCAGGAGGAGGAGGAGGATTAGGACTAAGACGTCCTGGTGCTAATCCATCAAATATTCGAAATTTTAATGATATTCGACAACATATTCAGGAACAACGTGCTCAGATATTACAAAATTTACAACAACAACAACAAAGATATAATCGAATACCATCACCTCCTGTACTTTCTGCAGGACCAAGAAATCAAGGTGGTGCATATCTACCAGGAAATAGTATTTCTGGAGGATCAGCAGCGAATAGTATTCTTGGAGGATCACCACCGAATAGTATTATTGGAGGATCAGCAGGTCAAAATGGTCCATATTTATTCAGAAATGGTTACTCTGCAGGCGCTAGATCAGGTCGAACACCTTTCCCATCCGGAGCACCATCAACATATGCACGACCACCTTCAATAGGACTTAATTATGCACAACCCTCTTATCAAGGTTCATATGCAGGATCCATTAGATAATCTCTATCTAATCTAGTTAGACCATGAGCACTAGATAAAGGTATTATCCCGTGCTTAAACCCAAGGTTGCGCTCTTGCCGGCAAGGTTGTCTGTCACTATAATTGCATTATTTTCGCTTTGGCTTATTATTTTTATTTTTAGAAAGTAATAATCGGATTTACTTATAATTTTTCTTTTTCTTTTTCAGAGGTGCTGTTAATCCATTCAGTTCAACACCATGCTCAATCATGTAGAATTTTTCTCAAGAATAGACTTTTCAAAATAAAAATTTTCGTGTCTTTTTTTCCCCTATTTATCCTGAATTGTTTTTTTTCTGTTGTCCGTTTCACTTTTCTTTTGGTGTATTAATAATGAATACATACATGACTAATTTGGAAAAAAAAAACATTTGTTAATATTATTGAAAATATTCATTCAATTAACTTTTTGAAATATAATTCAAATCAGTTTTAAATTATATGTTCTTTGATTAGATTTTACTAACCTTGATAAAATTATATCATGGTAATTAGACAAATCTATGCAAATATCATTCGATTGTTCAAAAATGGGATGTCGTGTCATTGGTTTCAATTGCATTTCGTTCCGTATTATAGGGTTTCTGACCTTTCCACATAACTTAAGCCTTCATCAATATATATTCATATTTGATAATTTATTTCAAGGATTTGATAACATCAGTTTTTAGTTTAATAATTGCTATTTCTATTCTTTTAAATAAATAAGACAAAAAAAGAAAAAATAATTGTTATTCGATTCTACATTCAAGGACGATATGATATTCAATTCTTTCCGTAAATCTACTCTCAAAAGAAATCTTGATATTGGAAACTCTTTTTTTTTCGTTTTGAATATAATAAATTGAAATATAATAGTAATTTAATTAGTCAATTAATCAAAAGTACTAACGAGATCTTTTCTTATGTGTTTTATCAGTGACCATTCATTATTAATCTTATCTATCTATTTATAATGACTAGACTATATTTAAACGGTTTATGTATGAATTCTTTTCATTGAACAATTGATTGATATATCATTTTTTTGTTTCTACTTCATTAAGCTCGATCTGTGACTAAATAGTTTCAACGTCTAGATATTTTTTTTGATAAAACAAAAAAAAATATTGAACAACAGAAATAAATTGGTCTCTATAGAGTCATTAAAAAGTATATTTGCATATCAAATTTAATTCAAACGTCAAATTTATATTAGAACTGTTATATAATAATAATAATGACATACAAAATATGTTTCTCTAGACAGTTGTCACACATATAATTTATACAATAAATTTGACTTGTACAATCAAAATAAGAAATTTTTAATTAATCTTAATTGAAAACAAATTTTGACTAATAATATTTTCAATTTTTTTCACGTGTCGATAATTATTGAAAACTAGCGTCTTCAATTTACTAATGTAATTGGTCTAGGATAATTGACCAATCCTATAACAGCTGTAAAATTCTTCCTCTTGATTCAAAATTTCTTCGTCTTTTTTTTTATATAACATCTGTTCCTTTTTTTTGCTTTTATTATTCTTTTTTTAATTTACAATATCCATTGTTAGTTTCCCGTATTCGTATCATGTAATAAAGAGGACGTCTTTTACGTTTTTTTTTTTGATTATCATATTTTTCTTTTTTTCGTTCTTATTATTGCCTACACTACCTGTGGGATATTGTTTGGGCGTATCAAACTATTTGTTATGTTAATACGTTTAATCAAATAGATTAAAAGAGATATTTTGGTAGTTTAAACATGACGAATTTTTTTCGGGGTAATACAAATACACATCAAAGTGGACTTCAACAAGCTATTGAAAAAGCTATAGATGGAAGTCAACCAAGTGAAGATTGGAGTTTAATTATGAAAATTTGTGATCACGTTGCAAGTCATGAAGAAAGGTTTATTCTTATAATTTGACTTTTTTCTTTTTTTTTTAATGAATCTATTTCTAGTGCAAAAGAAGCTATGAAAATAATTCGAAAACGTTTACACGTACATCCTGGAAATAATGGATGGCGTAGTATTGGATATACTCTAACTGTATGTCAACTAAAAATTTTCAATTAATATAAATAATAAATTATTTTTTTAATTGATAGTTATTAGAAGCATTAACAAAAAATTGTGGAAAAATATTTCATTTACAAATTGCGCATAAAGATTTTTTGAAAGAATTGAAAGGAGTTATTGGACCAAAAAATAATCCACCTGCACTAATACAAGAAAGAGTTCTTGGCATGATTCAAGTAGAGAAAAATGTTCAATTAAAATTTTTTGTTTATAAATTTATTTAGACATGGGCATTAGCATTTCGTCATGATCCAGATTTTCGAACTGTCGAACATTTCTATCAAGAATGTAAACAACATGGTTTAGTATTTCCACCAGCTGAATCAGAAAATGTTATTAAAACAGCGGTACCACCTACAGTAAATAAAAGGTCTTACTAAAATAATAATATTTTGTTTTGAAATAATTAGGGTACTATTGAAAGACCTTCGCAATATGCACGATCAATGGTAAAAAGAATGTTTGGTTTTTTGGAAATTTCTTATTTATTTTTATGTTATAGTCGCAACAAAATACAAGAACAATTCCTCGAGATGTAATTAAAAAACAAAAACATCTTCGGATATTAATATTATTTTACTTATTAGAATCGATCATCATCAGATGGATCATCATATCCTATTCAGAATAATCAAACAGCTGATCAAATAGGAAAACTACGTAGTGAATTAGATATTGTACAAACAAATGCACAAGTATTTGGTGAAATGCTTGTAACATTACAACCAGGTGAAGAAAATCCACAAGATTTCGAATTATTAATGGTAAGTATTTTGTTTTTCAAATCAAATATGTAAGGTCAAGGTCAAAAAAAGAAATGATTATTTAATCGAAATACAATTGAATTAAATAGTCATTTTCCTTGAGAAGAAAAGAAAACGTATTTTAACATTGAAAAAAGCATCCGATTCATTGTTTTCTCATCCAAAACTAATGCTGCATACATAATGAAATTTTCATAGAATCTATATAGCAAAGTGCTTAGATTTTCATCTAAACTATTTCCATGTTAACACACTTTACACATAGCGACACTCTCTATAACCTTTCGTGTGAGATTATGAAATGATTTTTTTCTAGGAGTTACACAATACATGTAAACAAATGCAAGCTCGTATTGTTGATTTACTTGCTCAAGTATCTGCCGATGATATAACAGGTTAATTGAACTGAATTTTGTAATAATAGTTTTTTTTGTTTTTGAAAATATTTAGTTGATCTTTTACGATATAATGATGAATTTAATAATTCATTTAAAACATTTGAAAAATATATGCAAGAACGTGATAAACGTTTTGGTGCGTCATATAGACCAACATTAAATCAAAATACAGCATCACAACCTACAAATTTCCATTCACAAACACCAATAAAAAATGTAAAATTTTATTTTTTTAGAGAATATTTTATAACATATGTTAAATTTTGTTTAGAATTATCCAACATTACCTAATGCAGATAATGAACCGGCATTGATTCGATTCGATGATGATCCAGTAACAGTAACAAGTGGATTTCAAAATATGAGTTTGTGTTTTTTTTTCTTTGATTTTTCGATTGATATTGTTTTTCTTTAGATATTAATTCAGCATCATCAAGTGTAATACCGAAGAATACGCATCAACCATCAACGTAAGTAATAAACGAAAAATAAAGTCATTCTTTAATCGTTTATCTTTAAAGAAGATATATGAATATGTCGTCGTAAGCTTAGATTTTGCTGCTATGTACTTTACTTTTCTTCAATAAATACTTCATTTTCTTTTTTTGTAGGGCATCTGTAGTAACTCGTCCAGCTGCACAAAATCAAGTAAGAAATTTATATTTACTATATCTTTGCCTTCTTTATAAACTATTTCAATTATTTTAGGATCCTGAACGAGAACTGAAAGAAATGGAAGAATGGTTAAAATCGCAAGGCGATGTATGATAAAATTCACAATAAAATATATATATCTAAACTATTTTTTATTTTTAATAGGACAGTGATACTGATGAACAAACTCGTCCACAAGATGGAACAACAGATGCATTTAATAATTTTTTACAAAAACGTGCATCAGCTGTACCTGATCAAGCAGTATCTACTCAGCAAGTTTATCCTAATTTCCAACCAATAAATAATCAAAAAAATAATACTTATCTGTAAAATATGAATGTACATATAATCAAAAAGATTTATGATTATTTTTGTTTTTTGTTATTTCCAAATCATAAAATTTTCCGTTCTTCTTATAAGTCCGTCGCATTTTTTTTTAGTTAATCAATTATTTATTTCAGAACAAAATGTTTATTCTGTTAGAATCAAAAGCAAGAAAAAAGAAATTGTAACATACTTTTGTATTTATGTTTTTTTGTTTTAAACTCGCCATAATCATTTTGATTTACTTATTAATCTATAATATAAATAAATCTATAAATCATTCCGTCTTGTTTTTTTTGTTACCTACAGAGATATATCAATCGTAGTCTTGTTTTTTTTCCTTTTTAAAAAAAAACTCGAATACATTGTAATTTAATATATTTCGAATTCTATCTTTCTCTTTTTTTTGTAGAGAAATATAATGCAAAGAAGAAAAAAAATGATTATGGTAGAACATGCATAAAATATGCATACTCATATTGTTAGTCACATAGACGATGACTATGTTATATAAGCACGTAAATATGACTATTTGATCAAGAAAGCAATAACATAGTATATCACCGAGAGTGATGCATAGGAGAAAAAAAATCAGTTATAAATGTAAAACACGTGAGTTTATGAAATCTAATATGCCGTATATAAATCAATTTATATTTCCTTTACAAATGATAATTAGATAGATTTTTTTAGATGGGTAAAGATAATTTCCTATCGACAGATGTTGGCCAACGAGTTATTCTTGGTGTATGTATAACCATCTTTTTGGTGATAATTTTACTTTTCTTTGGGTATGTTACTCGAATTTTTTTGGATATGATTATTCTATTTTAATTTAATTTAGAAAAATTCATTGTCTAATCTTCATTCTACTACTTATAATTAGTTATAAATTAACTGATTATTATGTGTATGTCTTTAAAAAAAAAGTGATTTTATCTTATAGTTCTGATTGATTTCATTTAGAACATCATTAAATAAACCAAGTAAATCTTCAAAATGTTGGCCGAATCTACTCATTTTTTTCGAACCAACAAAAGTATTGATTATTATTATTAATTAAATATTATTGGTATATATTTTTCTCTTTTAAGGATTTACAAAAAGAATTAATACAAAAACAGAGGTAGATTTCTAATTCTTTCTCATTTGTATATACATATTGTTTTTTCTTTTGAATATCTAGTGCAAGTACTCGTTATATACATAAGAATCCTTGGATTCATTTGATGCTATCCAAACGAATTGATACAGCTATTGATGAAGCAAGTTCTATTTTCCATAATTAAAATTTAACAAAAAGTTTTTATTCTAGTTTTGTTGTTTATGTTTAAGAGATCATGTATATCCATGGTTATCGTAAGTTTTATATTTTTATTGAAATTAAAAAAAACAATAACAAGAATATTTTATAGAATGATTACACAAGATGATAGCCTTGTTTATGAGGCAAAGCATGTCTTCCGTTTTCTTTTAGCAACTGTTATACGTCGAATACAAAATGTAAGATTTTGTGATCTTTTAATAAAAATTGTTTAACTGTATTTGATTTTTCTCAAAGGTTGATATCAATACATTCGTTCTTGAACGTCTTCTTCCATTAATTTTTCAAACATGTGATCGTTATATTCAAACAGTTAAAATAAATTCTCCCGATGAATCTCAAAACTCAACAACTGATTTTCTTAAAAAAATGTATAAAAATGATCTCCATGTTGCTATGTATAATCGTCAATCTGAAATAAAATATTTAAAACGTCTTATACTTGATTTAATGCCAATCATAACACCAAAATTTATCTATGAATGTAAAGGTTCTCGTCATTTTTTAAGTGAAGTAATTGCTTGTCAAATTTTAATTGATGGTATTGATGCTATATGTGAACCTAATACATTAAATCGTTTATTTCATTTATATTTTACAACTGCTATTCAACGTCGAAATGGACTTTTGAATGTAATAAATACTCCAACTAGTCCATCAGTTGAATTATTAACACGTTTTTGTTCAATGAATGGTCCAATACATAAAAATCAATTAGCTTTAGAATTAACGGATGTTATGTATGAAAAAGAATTATTAAATCAATTTAGTCGTGTACTTGATCGTCATGATTCTATTGGTTTATTAAGTATTTATGTAACATTATCTGATACTTTAAATGATATTCCATCAGCATCAAATATATTAGTTCGAAAAAAAATTTATCAACGTTTAAAACATATTGACGAACGTTATTTAAATCCTAAAACATCTGATGGATTTGTAAGCATTAGTAACCCACATGATCCAAATGATACATTAATAGATGACATAAAAACTTTAATTTATAATGATTTGGCAGAAAGTATTAAAGAAGAAAATGAAGAAAATAAGTCAGATATAGCACCTAAAACATTTGATGTTCAACATACATTTACATTATTATCTCGTTTTCATTGTAAAATTTATGAATTAGTTGAAGAAAAATATCAACGATGTTTCTTAACAAGTGATGAGCATTTTCTTTATATATGTGGTAAAAGAATGGATTCACCCGATTATAAAATGAAAGCTCAAAAGTTAGTTTTTCTTTTACCAATTATCTATATATGTATATTTTTATATAAATATTTAATAATCATCTTAGTTTCGATGAAATTGCATTAGATTTCGTTCATATTGAAGAAATCAGGTTTGATGATATCCATATATATATCCCTCAATCTTTCTTTGTGCATAAAACCAGCTTTTTTTTATTTATTTTAAATTGTATTCAAATATTCGAGTGACTAACTCATTTCATTTTATTTAGAAATACTAATGAAGCTGCAAATAAACGTAATGCATCAAAACATTACACAACAACATCCTATAAAGGTATATAATTAGAAAAAAAAGAAACCATTTTTTATCAATGTAAACCAAAATATAGATAAGTTTCTAAATTTAGCAGATAATGTGAGTAAATATAAAAATTAAAACATCTCTAGACGTTCTTTTATATTAAAAAAAAATATAGTTTGCGCAATTAGTTCTAAATGTTGATTAGCTAACTTCAGATATTTAGCACATAGATTGCATGTATTATCATCTACAGATTAGGTCCTAATATAAATCTATGAAACGTTCCTATTGTGAGCAAAGTTAAGACTTCCAGAACTAAATTTGTAGTGTAAGCTGAATTATAAGCCATAAATACTTGGTTAATCTTTTATCATGCAAACACCTATGTACTTTAAGATTACAGATTAGAATATTAAACAATCATTTAGAATGAGTGAGTGACTAGATATATACCGAGAGCATATCTTTAGTTTTCAGTTTCAATAATCCAATAGTTCATAACAATACAATGAATCTATCTGAAGAATTTATATAATTATTTTTTTTGTTATAGATTTGGAAGACAGAGATGAAGTACATCTAAAATGTCCAGAAGAAACAACGAGTATTGGCAGTAATAGTGTACGTTATTTTTCTTTCATTTATTTTTTTGTTTATTTTGATTTTTATTTAGTCATATGATGATAGAGATTTAAATACATGGCGTGTACTTATCAGTCATGCTGAAGAAGTACGTGATAATTACAATTCAGCTGCAAAATATTGTGTATTTATTATTGAAGTACAACGAATGGAGACAAATACTAGTAAAAATAACATTCTTTCGTTTTCTACTGCTAATCATTAATATTTTAGTTAATCCAATGATGATTGATGACGAAAAAACACATTGGATTGTCGCAAGGTAAGAGAAAAGGTTTTAGACAAAAAAAGACTAACAATATGTATTTTAATTTAGACGTTATCAAGATTTTTATTTACTCGAACAAAAATTAACTGAATTTCATGGAGTTTTTTCTGATGCTCGTTTACCAGCAAAACGATCAGCAACAACAGCACGAAATGTTGAATTTCTTCAATCATTGAAAAAAGATTTCGAATATTTTTTACGAGTATATTATATTATAATAATATTTAATTTTCGTTTTGCATATAAATTTATTTAGCATTTATTATCGAAACCAACATTACGTAATAGTGAATTATTATACAATTTTTTAACACAACCTGATGATTTTACTCTACCAAATGGTGAAATTATATTAGGTTAATTTTTTCACAGAAATAATATCGAACAAAAAAAAACTTGTTTTTTTGTTTTTATAGCGAAAATGTTTAAAGTTGTACCACGTCGATTACGTATTGAAGTTAGCTGAAATAATTTTCGCTCCTAAATATTAAATTTTATTTCCTAATATAGAAAGGTCAATATCTTGATCCATTCCTAATATCATTAATCAGTTACGCTGAACCAGCTAAACCAAAAGCAACACAACCAAGTCCTATTTTTAGCGATATTGTCGAAGCAAAGGTAAAAATAATTTAAATTCAATCATAAATTTATTTTTTTTGTCTAGCTTCAAAATTCCATCTATGGAAATAATGCGAATATAAATGAACCTATGGAGGAATCACCCATAGAAAAATCTAATCTTAATGGATATGATAGTGCATATGAATATATGGTTGTTATTGGTATGAATATCAATTTGATTAGAAGAATTCGAATTATTTTTATTTATTTATAGCTAAACAAATCTTTTCAGCATCGCCATTATTAATTTATGTATTAGATTTACTTCGCATACCATTAAAAAATTCCTGTGATACATTCTTTTCACATTTTGTTGATAACAGTGTTGATGAAATCTTAGAAGACGAAGAAAATATCATTGATGTAATTCATGCTCTTCGAGGTATATATATATATATTCGAATTTCAATGACAGAATTTCTGTTAATTATTTTTCTAGATGTAATTTTTCCAAATGATGCCGAAGATAAAAGGTATGAAAAGAAATAGAATTTTCGAAAAAAAAAACAATTTATTTTATATATGTTTTAGCCCAACGGACTCAGTCAATTTTGATGATGTTGTCGCAGCAGCTGATGCATTTTTGCCAAGTATGATTTATAATAGTTTGCGATTTTTATCAACTGAAAGAAATGGATTTTTTTCTCCGATAATGTAAAAGAATGATCTGCTATCTAGAATATACAAAAAATTCTTTTCTTATTTGAGCGTATAATTACAAATATAGATCCGAAGTATTTCTATCTAAATCATAGGTTAGAAACAAAATTACATCTAGATAGCATGTCATTCGTTTGCATGTTGTTCACAGATGATTAATTTTTCAAAAGATTGCATTTGATAGATAATTATAGAAAACAACATCCTGGATATAGAGTAATAGATTTTGTGTTTGTCGAGGTATTCGCCGTATATTTTTATTTGAACTGAGATTTTCAGAAATCTCTCTATATTTCAATTAATTATAGATTTGATCAAACTTATACTTGGTAAAACCAATATTGAAAATGGTTTACAAACTATTTTAAAACATTTTCAAGATCCATTACTCAATAAACAAGTAAATTATTTTCATATTTATTTATCAAAAAAAATAAAAATCTTTCGGTTTTATTTTAGTTATTTTATATAATTCTCGATGAAATTCTCCTTCAACTTTTTCCTGAATTACAAGCACATTCTGAAAAAACAATTACTCATTTAAATTAAATTGACATTTATTTTCCTTTCATTTTTTTTTCTTTTCGGGACCGGTCACATATTTCCTCTTTTTTGTCTCTGATAATCTCGTTGTTATTTTATTCTCTGTTGTATAGAATATTTAAAAGAACAAATATTAAATTCTCATTGTAGATAAGTGTACTATATTGACATAGAATGGCACACTTATCATTTATTCTAATTTTTTTTCTCATATACTATTCTTATTGCCAACAATGTGATCAAAGTTCCGATATAGCTCGTTTTGATTGTTATCCTGAAAATGATGCTACACAAGAAAAATGTCTTGCAAGAAATTGTTGTTGGAGACAACCATTTGAGAATAGAAATCAAAGAGAAAAACATTTTAGTGCTTTTCATGATATAAATGTACCGTATTGTTATTATCCAAAAGATTTTCCGACATATAAATTACAAACAAATGAACAAACGGAGTTTGGACAACGATTACGAATTAATAAATCAGAAACAACATATATGCCACATGATATTACTGATTTAACTGTTGATCTTATATATGAAACAGAACATAGATTTCGTATTCGTATTTATGATACAATATACAAACGATATGAAGTACCACTTGAAGTACCGGTTATAACAAAAAAAGCGAATCAAACTGATTATGATGTTAAAATTAATTCAAATCCATTTTCACTTCTTATTACAAGAAAATCAACAGGTGTTACATTGTAAGTTAAATATTAGAAGAGAACATCTAGCTGTACTAACTTATTCTCTAATAATCGTTATACTAATCGATATAACAGTTGTTATTCTAAAGGATAATACCTTCCATTATCGTTTGACCTTGAATTTGTTCTTTTCTCCGTTAATGTTACTAATCGTTCTGAGAAATATTATTGTTTATTAATTCTTAAGTAACCAGAAATGTCACGGAATATATGCATAATCTCGAGTTATTTAGTAATAGACATCATCAAAAAAACGACATTATCAGACTTATTTATATTGTTTCTATTATCAATTTACTAATAACAACATTTCTGTTATTTATCAATATAAAACCTATCAATGGTTTTAGTTTATAATAACAAAACTAACCGCGCATGTACATACTCAAAAGAATTTAATTGATAATTACTTTTACATAATGGAATAATTTAGAAACGAATTTTTATTATTACTTTCATAGATTTGATTCAAGTGTGTCACCACTTATATTTGCAGATCAATTTATAAAATTTTCAACACGTTTATCAAGTCCATATGTTTATGGTCTTGGTGAACATCGACAAGCATTATTAATAGATCTAACAGAAAAATGGAAAAAATTAACATTTTGGTCACGAGACTTTCCACCCGTAGAAAATACAAATCTTTATGGTTGAGACTATTATTTTCTAATTAAAATGCAATAATTAACATATTATTATTTTAGGTGTTCATCCATTTCATATTAATCCAGAATTTAATAGAGATAATTCAACGAATTTTCATGGACAATTTTTTCTTAATTCAAATGCAATGGATATTGATCTTCAACCATTACCTGCATTAACTTATACAACTATTGGTGGAATTATTGATTTGTATATCTTTACTGGACCGACAATACAAAATGTTATTGAACAATATTGGGATATCATCGGAGTACGAATAAATAAATCAATAATAAAAACTAATCTATTATTATTTCTAGAAACCAATTATGCCACCTTTTTGGTCATTAGGATTTCATCTTTGTCGTTATGGTTATAATAGCATTGAAAATATGTTAGCAACTGTTAAAGTAAATATTTCAAAAAAAAAGGAAAATTTCCTATTGTATTCATATATATTATATAGAGAATGGATGATGCTAATTTTCCATATGATGTACAATGGACAGATATTGATGCAATGTCATCTTATTTAGATTTTACATATGATGAAAAAAATTTTCATGGTCTTCCTGATTTTGTACGTAATTTACAAGCTAATGGAAAACATTATGTTAATATAATTGATCCTGGAATAAGTTCAGTTCAATCTCCGGGGTCCTATTTACCATATGAAGAAGGATTAAGAAAAAATATTTTCATGAAAAAATTTAATTCAACTGAATTAATTCTAGGAAAAGTCAGTTGAAATACATTAGAATTTTTATATTAATAATATATATATTCATTTGAAAGGTATGGCCAGGTATAACAGCTTTTCCTGATTTTACAAATCCAAATGCGACTGATTGGTGGACAAATATATCTTCTATTTTTCATGATATCGTTCCATTTGATGGAATGTGGATTGTAATCAGGATCGATTTCTTATATTTATAGTCATAATTTTACTTTTAGGATATGAATGAACCATCAAGTTTTATTGATGGATCAAGTGATGGTTGCACAATGAATAATTTAGATAATCCACCATTCATTCCTAGTATGTCATCATTTTGAATATATCAAAATTATGTTTTCTTGTTGTAAATAGATGTACTTGGTGGTAGTCTTAGTTCAAAAACTTTATGTCCATCTGCTCAACAATATCTTTCACAACATTATAATTTACATAGTATGTTCGGTTATTTCGAAGCAAAAGTATCAAATGCGTATGATATTTCTATTGTCTATATGATAAGCATTTCTCTTTATCGAAATTAATTTGCTAGAGCATTGAAAACAATTCGAAAAAAACGACCATTTGTTTTATCTCGTTCATCATTTGCTGGTTCAGGTAAATTTACTGCTCATTGGACTGGAGATAATCGAGCTACATTTGATGATATGTACTTTTCAATTCCTGGTAAATTTGAATATTAATAGAATTAAACTTAATAGTAAAACTCTTTACTTAGCTATTCTCAATTTTAATATGTTTGGTATCACACATGTTGGTGCTGATATTTGTGGATTTGGACTTGAAACAACTGAAGAATTATGTACACGATGGATGCAACTTGGCGCTTTTTATCCATTTATGAGAAATCATAATGACCTAGGACAAAAAGTAATCTATCATTATTAGTTTTTTATTAGTACTGAGACTTACGTTGACCTTTTTCTACCAGTTGATTCTATTCTTTTACACTATTAATCGGAAAACTTAAATTGTCTAAGTAGGAGAACAGTCTCAACAATCTATCATAGAGTTGATTTATTAATATTTCTTATATATACATAGGATCAAGATCCGGGATCATTTTCATATGCAGCTCAACAAAGTATGAAACAAGCATTGCTTATGCGATATTCATTAGTTCCATTTTGGTATACTCGTCATTACGAAGCAGCAATGTTATCTAGAACTATTATTCAACCACTTTTCTTCGAGTATAATTCTTATTAATAATAAGACCAGAAGAAAAAAAAGCTTTTAGTTATTTTTAGATATCCAAATGATAGAAATACGTATAATATTGATCAACAATTTTTAATCGGGCGTGCTCTTCTTGTCTCACCAAATTTAAAAACAGTAAATGAACACAAGAGAATCATTTTTTTTATATAATAATCTAATGATACTAGGAAACAACTTCTATTAATGCTTATATTCCTTCTGATGTTTGGTATGAATTTCCATCCGGTATTAGAGTTGAAAAAGTAGGTACATTTATAAATTTGGATGCACCATTATCAAAAATAAACGTACATGTTCGTGGTGGTTTTATTATTCCAATGCAAATACCCGGCGATAATTTAATTATTGGACGTGGTAATCCATTTACATTACTTGTTGTACAATCTCAATGGGGTAATGCAAATGGAAATCTTTTCTGGGATGATGGTGATTCAATTGGTATACTCATTATTTTTATCATTTGATAATAATATAAAACAAAGTTTGTCTTCTAAATTTTCAGATTCAATTGAAACAAAAACATATAATTATTTGGAATTTTCATTAATGAATGGCGTAAGTAACTATTTGATTAATGTTTTGTGTGATTGAATATATATATATATATATATATATTTTCTCTCTCTTGGGGAGAATAATAACTTCTTCTGTGCTAATCTTGAAATGGGATTTCAGCACATTAACTTAAAGTGCTATTGAATGAACTGTAAACATATCAATCAAATCATCATATACATGAAATGATCCTTTTTTCAAACAATTATTTTGAATGCATTAAAAAGTTTTTTTTTCTTCTTTTTTGATTTATTTAGACTACATTGAGAATAGATGCTCTTGTAACAAATTATCAAGATAGACCAATGCGTTTGGAACTTGTAAAAATTCTTGGAGTTAATAAGACAGTTACTAATGTGAATATAAATGGAAAATCTTATACAAATTTTCTCTATAATATTTTTGATCAAGTATGTCATTCTAAACTTTAATTTTTAATAAAAAAAATTTCTATTTTCATAGATTCTACTTATATATGGACTTGAGTTAGATATGTTAACTCAATCAATTCAAACCATTCAATGGACAATGACAAATTAACAATCATTTATTTCTTTTTTTTTACTTAATCCCGGTCTTTCAATTTTGTCTTTCACACACACAAAAAAAAACATGATTAGATCAATGGTGCTATAATTCGTCTTTCTTTCTTTTTTTCTCATATTTTTGTACAACATATTTTCATTGAACTAATAATTGATAACCAAAGAAAAAACATCGTTACAATAGAAAATAAAAAATATGAAAAAAATCCAAAAATATATATGTTTTAGTCGAATATTAATAGATGAATTGCATCGATCCGAACTACATAAACAAAACGAATCTGTATGATGTTTTTTATGTTGATAACATGTTTCAGCTTTTTTTATATGATAACGAAAGATTTTATGACAATCACGTCGTACATAACGCAATGCAGTTGTTTTATCATCTCCTGCTACAGTATCATTTTCACGTGTCCACACTTTTAAACAATAATCATCGCATAAACGTGTAGGCATTTGTATTTGAGAAAAAGTTCGTGAATCTTCACATGCTGGATTTTCTCTTGAATCACACATAAAACATTCAACTTGTTTACGACATGATGCTGAATCAGCTTGAACAAAATATGAAGAACGATGATGACGATTAGTCGAAAAAATAAATAGAAAAAATAATTCGATAACAATTGATATTTGCATTATATGGTTTTTTCGTCGTAATATATATCATAGCCATACGATAAATAATGGCTTATTCATCTACAAATTAAACATTACTAGTTGTACTACTAGTAGAAGAATGAATATCATCTATCTATCGTAAAGAGAAAAAAAAGAATATATATATATATATAATACAACAGGAAACACAAATTAAATCTACCTTACTTCCATTAGGTAGAATATAGTTGATAGACTGATACATCATTTTATTTCTTACCGAACAATGATATAGAAATCAAAATATAATGTTGCCTGTCAGTAAATAAGGAAAAAGAAATTTTATTTTATTTTTTTTTTGCTTGTGTCAGTTATACTAATGATTACGAACATAAAATATGAGAAATATGACATACTAACATATTATATAAGCACTTGTTCAAATTTAATTGATTGTTTAATATAAGAAAAATTATAGTATACAAAGCAATATATAAAAACTTAAGCAAGCGAGAAAGGACGTACAACGAAGGACGAACTAGTAAAAACAATAACGATCGTAATGTGCGCATGTCTAACAAAAGAACTCGTTGTAAAATATTAGCGAAGAAAAAAAAAAAAAAAAGAAATCCAGTTTTCACAGCTAACGAACAGCCTCTGCGTGAGATGCTATCAAATGCAAGCGAGTGAAAGAAGAAGAAACAGAAGAATAAAAAAAGGAAAAAAAAAGAGACAACAAGCTATATAGACGATAGGAGAATAGAGAAAAGGAATTCCGGCAGAGAAAAAGAAAATTAGAGAGCACGCGTAGCGAGCCGAACTCTAAATCTAAGCGACAATGTAGCGGTAATAACAACAGCAATAGCTTATTTTTCTCTAACTATGTGTGCATGCATTATATATACAGACATACCCCCGCAATCCCAATCTGCGATGAGACAAATTTTTTCTTCTCTCTCTCTCTCCCCCTCCCCTTTTCTTTAGATGTCTTCGTGCTTCTAGACCATTGATATTGTTGTATTTGAATTCATCACTCGTGCATCAACATTAACTGTCATCATATGACAAGATGCGTGCTCATCACAAACATTGAATAAATTCTATCGTGACAATTTCTCAACATAGCATTCATTCGATTTGATAATCAAGTTGTATTTACGCGAAAGAGACACGATAGTTAATATCAATTGATTGATTCACTTTTACTTCTTTTTTTATTATTATTCTTATTATTATACATTCCTTTCTGATATTTCATGAGTTATTGACAAGCACATCTGTTTTGTCTACTAAATCAAGTTAAAAATACTTCTTCTTCTTCTTTTTTTTTATGAGAACTTTCTATGTTATCATCTGTCAGTACTGATATATGAAAGTTATTTTTAACATCATCGACATTTGTTTATTAATAATCAAACATACTATCAATTATCATCGTATAAATACGTTTTATCACAGGAAAAATAATTAAACTTCATACTTTTTATTTGCTTAACAAAATTTTTCTAAAGAACTCAATGTATAAGAAAATTATATTAGACCATTCTCAAACAATAAGATATAAATAGATATGAAGGTCAATCAAAATAATGAAAGCGTATAAATCTCAGTCAAAGATGATTGAATAGATATGTCATAATATCGATTATACCTGTACTAGTTACAATTTTATATTGCTAAGGATCATCAATCACGTTCGAAAACTTTAGTGCAAACAAAGTAATATACAATACCAATTATTTCTTGTATACAATGTACTCTTTGAAGGATATCATCGAAATCAAGTCCTTGAAGCCTAAGGGCACTATTCAGAACAACAAGTGAAGTGCACGAGACCATCAACAATCGAACAGAACATATATCGACATAAACAAGACCTTTTCTTCCTTTTGATTTTCATTCAACACCGGAAGGTACGCACACTTGAATGATTGTGCGTTGAATAAATCGAATGTCTTTCTTCTACATTAATTATACGAACATAGATTTAAGATTATTTATTTGATATGGGTTACTATCAATTAGGAAAATTCAATAAACTGAATGTGTTTGTAGATATATAATTGATGTTGGCACAAGTAAAACGATTATTCTGCCTTTATTATTTACTGTAAATTGTCTTTAATTGTCATATATCGCGTGTATGATGAATATCAAAGAATACTGCACTATATGAAATGAGATATTTAATTGTAATAAATACTTAAAGACTCTCATAGTACATCTTTCTATACTCGAATGACATTTATCTTAAAAATAGATTTTGATTGCATATCAAATAATAATCATTTCCATTTGTATTATTAAAGGATGTGACCTTCTCGTCTTAATATTCTAAAGAAGACATCCTTTGATTAGATAATCATTCATCGATTAAAGTCAATAAATGTTTTTTCCAATTATTGTTAAATAATCAAAAAATACAATATTATTTTTAGATTTACTTTCAGTATTCTTTTAGATTAGGTCTTTAATACTTAGGACATTGCATGAAAATATAAAAATGAATGCTTTTATTATATCATGTATTAAAAATCTTAATTGTACTCGAATAAATCAGATTTATTGCGAAAGAGATGTCGATAAAAGCTCTAGACTTTGTACAGAAAAAAAAAATTTATTATATTCATTACGAAATAATGTTATTTGAAGTAGGACACAATGTCTTCATAAAATATTCATATATAAATTTGTTTTTTGCGTTACAAACGACAAATTGTGTTTTCTAATCAAATTATATGCTAATCATTCTTTTAACATTACATAAAAACTCTTCGTTATAATAAACGATGGCATACTTAGAACATTAAAAGAAGTTTTCAATATCGTTAGCTAGAGAATTAATATAGGTTTTAAGAATCCAATATTTCCTAAAACTAAGATGCGAATAATTAAGGAAATATAGTTAATCAAGCACATGAACATATATTTCATACGTCGAAGTCTTCCGTTTGAATTTCCGTTTTCAACAACATTTCTGATGAAAATTAGTAAGATTAATAATTGAGCAAAAAAAATTATTTTCGAAGCAAAATATATGTTTACTTATTCCTACTGTTTATTTTTTAAATAAAACGATATCAATCATTAGAATATTGTGCATAGAATCACATATTCGACAATACATTTTGTTCAGATAAATTTCTGAGAACTTTTATATTATATCTAAAATGATGTTCATCTATTGATATATTACTTTGAAGGACACTTTTCAATGGATAAAAACATCTATACATATGAACTAAATGTTTGTCATCTATTATGTTTATCGTTAATCATCGTCACTTACAATAAATAAAAATCTACTTTCACATTCAGTATAGAAAACTATCATGATGAAGGAAACTTATACGTGGTAATTAATAAATATTGATACGATTAAAAGTCAGTATTTCATAATAATATAGAAGCAGTATATTCAAAATTTAGTTATTAACCTATGTGACCAGTCAGATTTTGTGACATCATCTGAAAATCATTTGTCGTAAAAATATTAGCAAAATACAAAGTTAATATTTACCTGATTTTGTTTCCGTGGTGGTGGATTGCGCAGTAAAGTGCATTGATGCCCGTAATTATATACAACATGTTGGAAAACCCATTAATTGCAGGACCTATTTTAGACAAAGTCATATGATATAACAGTTATCCACGCCCTCACTCACCCACCCAAATATCTTTTTTAGTTACTAAATCTAGTAACTAAATCAGCATCATTGCAACCCCTTTCGTATAGTTTCCCTAAAAATGCAGCTCACGTTCCAAACTATACACTGTATTAACGACCTAACACCGCTGCAGTTATTAATTTCTTTCAAGAAAAGTATTTAAAAAGGAAAGTGTTTGAGCGACAACTTGTATTCTTCAACAACAACATATTATACACTATTCGCGTCAGTGCAGAGTCAATTATAATCGATTTTTATCTGATCTTTTCGGTGTTTTTTTACATGGGCATGGGCATGTGAGATGAAAATGAATACTTTCTTATCTATCGATCAATCATGATTGTTTTTGTTCCGAGGAAGTGCGTGTTATCTAACCTTTATATTAAATGTGTGCTTCGTTGTTATTCGTTAGCTCAACACATTTAGATTTAGGACGCGTTTCGTATTGGTATATTTAGTGAGATTTCAACGATGAGATACAACAAAAAGCAGAGTGAAAGCGTGCATTATGCGAAATTGAGTGGCCCAAAGTCAAACAGACAAGTCACACGCAAGTACATTTTCATAGCAGTGATGGCGGCGATTACAATCGTTTTTTTTTCTACTTGTCTGTGGCGACTATTGCGGCGACGGTAAGTTAAGTGCTCGAAAAGTATTACATAGAATATTTCATTTCATTGGGCATAGCTCATCTCATTTCGATGGTGCAACTACGAAAATCAAA